CTGCAGACAGACCAAAGCAGGATCYTGTGCTGCACCAGGGGTTTGCCCATGGCTGGGAGTTTGTGTGAGTGAGTCAGTGCTGATGGTTCCTGCTCTGATAGCAGCCCTGCTCTGGGAGATGCTGCTTTTCCTTCTGTCTCACCTACCCAGCTCCACCTTTGCCTGGCGTGTTTTGGCAGCTCTCCAAAATAAACTCCCTCACGTCCTCAGCCCTTGGTGAGGTTTGAAGCGAAATGACTCTGTGTTCTTTGCTGCCCACATGTTTGGTTTTGTTTTTTTTTTTTTTTTTCCCTGAGCCCGTGGCTGAGCTGAACCTGCTCTCTCCTGTTGTTCAGTGAGCTGTACCTGAGATGCCTCCTCACTGCACCTTGGTGACACTGAAAGCCTTGCAGTGCCTCTCTCGATGCTTTATTTCCAGCCAGGAGGGTTTCTCCTGGGAGTTGTGTCCCCAGTTAATTCATCACAGGGATTGAGTTGATGCTTCACCTGTCTCACCCTGCGAACAGCACAAGTTTGCTCATGTTCCAGGATCTTGTTGCTGCTGGAAAGCAGCTTGGAACACCAAGGGACAGCTCTTCATTGCTGAAATACTGAAATACTGACATTCACAGCCCTGCCTTTGCAGTCTGGTTCCGTGTGCACTTTGCACGACTCCCTGAGCATCTCTGTGCCACCATCACTCCACAGATGTGGTACCTGCTGCTCCTTCCCTTTGCTCTAATGGGAAACTGCATGAGCAGTCCTGAGCCTCACTAGTGATAAAATCTCATCACAAAATGTCAGACCTAATACTACCCCCTGTCCTAATCCTTTCCTCAGCCCCTGGAAAATGTTACTTGACAGGACAAAGTAGGATTGGGCAAATTGTTCCATTTGAAAAGATGGGGAGGGAAATATTGCTGATTTCTCAGCGTAACCTTGGCTTGCTGCTTTTTTTTCCTTGTCTTTTTGRGAGGCAGGGAGACTGCTGAAGGGGGTAGAGCAAGTAAACTGAAAACCATTAGCTGTTTTCAAACTAAAATATAATTGTGGCTCTAAAAGGACACGGACTGAAAGGAAGTATTTGAGAGTTGCCAAACAAAATGTTTGAATTGTCCCAAGGTAGAGTTGGTTTGTTTTTTAATTTGCATCTCTGGAATATTTCTAAGATTGCCATAATTTAGTAAGAATTTGAAGAATAACTCTTGAAATTAAAAATGAAAATACCATAAAATTTCAGTACCTGTATTGGTCACTGGTTTTATTGGCATCAGTGAAAGTTTCCYAAGAGCCTGGTGGAGCCAGGCTTGGACCTTTGATCTGTTTGCTTCTGGTATCAGCTCCTGGKCCTCTATCACATCAGGCTGATCTAAAAGTCAGAGGGAAGCATGGGAAGAGACCAAGCAAGTGGTGTTAAAGCTAGCCACAAATTATTTAGCACATCTTAATCCTTAGCAGCAGCCCCAGYACTGAGAAAAGGGCTTTTGCAAGAYTCYTCCTCTATTGAGCAGCAGCTTTGTGGTTTCATGACGAGGTGGGTGATGTGGCAAGTGTTCTCCTAATAACGGGGGTGGCAGCACTTGTGCAGGATTTCTCAAAAGAGGAAGGATGTCTTTAGCTAATTCTAACTTGCCTAATTTCCCCTTGAGTCCTCAATTTTGTGTAAATATTCAACCACAGGCGCTATCCCAGTTGCTTAATAGGCTGCTTCTTGTGCCCAGCAGCATGCTCCACTGATCCCTGAGCCTGGTCCTGCTCTGTACAGACCCTGGACTATCCATTGTGACAGCCCATGCCTTGGGTTTTTTCCACAATCTGCTTAATTTGTGAATTAAAGTGTAAAATACTATTATTGCAGCCGTAGGATTTTGTTGGAGTCTCAGAAAAAAGATAAAAAGGGCATGGGGTGAACCAGTTGTTTTCTTGATTTTAGGACAAACTACAGAAAAAGAAAAAAAACACAATTAACATGGGTTTTTTTAAAGCTAGCCTAGAGGTGAATAATGATTTMATAGCTTTTGTAAGATGTTAGATAGGTGTTCCAGTGGCTGCTCTATCCCACATTGCCCTCTAGTGAGACATTGCAGAGTAAATCGTGCCTTCCTGCAGCCACCAGGATATGAAATGTGGTGTTTAATAACTGAGGACAGGGCTTGTTTCTGACACAGTGCTTTTGAGATGTGATAGTGTGAGAAGGAGCAGTGTTCATCTGTCACCTGTACCTGCACTGGCCACAGCTTTCTCCATGTTTTGCCYTTTTCTGAGCTAATTGTCTCTGCAAGCATCCCCCTGCTGCTGCTGGATCACCAGGCACAGCTCCCTGCTCTATGATGCTTTGGGAAAAGGGGGAAATTCTTCCTGTCCGGTTTCACTGAAGGAAAAATGATCTTTTTGCATGTTCTATGTCTCACTCTTTGCTCCATGAATCACGCACCACTTCTCTGGTTTTKCCTGTATACATGTGATCAGACAACTCTGGTTTGGTGATCATCACAGGACAAATTTCCATCCCTCCTCAGCCCAACAATGGTTTATCCAAAGCTGTTTCCTAGAGGATAGAATTGTCCCTTGTCCTTGTGCCTGAGTAGCTCCATTTGTCATTGTCCCAAATGATGTGGGGCCCAGAGTGTCTTTATGTGCTTGGCCATAATTACATAGAAATCCATAATTAATGTTCAGTTTACAAAGGTATTTGAATGTTGTCTCATTCATCACAGGAGTAGCCATGGCAATCTCTGCTAAATGCTGTCTCTTTAAACTCTGTGACTAAAAACTTAGCAGTTCTAGAACAGTTTGTCCTAAAACCTGTGATTTTCTGCAGCARGCAGGGAAAGGGCACAGCCTGAGTGTGTATGTGGGAGAAACGTGGGTGACAAGAGTGCCCTGTGTCAGTGCCACCTCCGTGGGACTGCAGGGCCACCATGGTGTTTCAGGGACAGGATGAGCAGCAGTGTCACCCAGCAGTGTCACCCAGCAGTGTCACCCAGCCTGCTGCACATGGCACTGCGGGCTGAATGACAAACGCTAATGCCATCTAGTGACCAAAAAATAAATGTGGCCTGGATATTTTATAAAATGCTGTTGGAAATTGGATAGGGCTGGGAAGGAGGGGAGATGGGGCTGAGGTGTTGTGGGAGGAGAAATCCTTTTGTCTCTGCTCTCCCAGGTTGTCTCTTCCATCATTTCACATCCCGTGAAGTTCTTCTGTGGGTAATGGGGATGTCCCAGTGAGGCTTTGTGGATCCCCAAAGGAGCAAGGCACAGCTCCTTCCTGAGCAGATCAGGTGGCTCAATGAGCACCAATTCCCCAATTTACTGCTGGATCATGGGTCACAAACCCAAAACCTCAGGRCAAGGTGCCTGCAGGAGGGGAGATGGTCCACTTGTGACATGGACATCACATTGCTGCAGCTTTGAGCTTGGCTGAGACAGGGCAGGGCTGGCTGCTGCCCTGGCAGCAGTGACTCCTCACTGCAGCTCAGACAATGTGGTACTTTTCACTTCTCACCACCTTAGTTTGTCCCTCGTGCTGCTGTAGGTGAGAGCCACCAAGGCGTTAATTCTCCRAATTTCTGTGTGAGCAGCTGGCTGRAGGCACCTCTGCCTTGTCCCTGGTTATTGATCAGCCAAGTCCCAGTGCCACCAGCCTGGAGGAATTAGTCTGCACCCTGCATGTTAAAAACGAAGGTGAAGTTGCTTCTGGCCATACCAGTTTATTCTGCTTGGCTATGCTGATGGCGGTGTGGTTTGCTTTGCACTGGGACGGCGGTCGGGGAATTTTTCAGCAGCTCTGATAATTTCTCCAGCTCCTGAGAAATGCACAGAGAGGGAACTTGGGAATTAAAAGTTTCCACATAAGGAACTTGAGGGCTGAGAYAGCTGTGATGAAGTGCATTACGAATGCACTGAGATGCCAGGCAACACCCCCAGAGAGATTGGGAGAGCGAGCAAAGCCCCCAGATGCAAATAAACTCCTTCACGGGACATTGCTGAAATGCAGGGACACCRAGGCTGGTGCTGGCACAGGCTGGCACATCTCTGCCCAGGTGCCCCCCTCACCAGCCATGTGTCCATCAGAAATGCCCCAGAGGGAAGAAGCAGGCTCTTGCTCTGCTCCACACTGCCCAGACCGCCCCTGCTTCCTTCAGAAAGCCATTTACAAGGGTCCACGGGGGACTCTGTTGCTTTTCCCAAATGTTACTGTTATCCCAAATGTGTAAAGGTACCAAATATGTTCTTATTGTCCTATTTACAAAAGCTTTGTGTTGTCTTTGCTGCTTCTTTTTCTGGATTATCCTCKTGTCCCCCCGCCTTTCTGCCCTGGATAATTGAGAGCTGGCGCTGTGCCTGCAGCGTTCCTGTTTTGGGGCCAAAATGGGAGTGAAAATAAATGCTTCTAAACACTGTATTGAAACAAATAAGTAATTTACTCATAATAGCTCTTCTCCTGGCATTTTCCTAGCTCACACTGGCAATTTCATGCGGGTTTTGCAGAAAGAACAAGCMGTTGTGAGAGGCTGGAAGATCCACACACCTTGATGAATATTTGCCGTGGGAGAAGGGCTTCATGGATTTGGAAAAGTGTTTTTACTTCTGTAAAGGGACTAAATTTACCTAGCAGYCTGTGACAACGCTCATTTCATAGATTTGCTGTCCCTAACGTCTGAAAACTCTGTCTAGCAGGAATTTAGCTGGAGGTGACAATGACAGACTTGCCCATGGGGAGAAGGCAGCTCTGCCTTACCTTGAGCAGTTGAGTAAGACATCTTCCAGAGCAGCCAGCTGACCCAAACACAGCACATGTCCACTGAAACCCTTCAGCCTTTTCACACCTCCATCTGTGCATYTTCCTGAGGAGATGTGGAAAAGCAAAGCACATTTTGGGTTCTCCTTGACCACACAGGCTATCCCTATTTATTTGCCATCAGTAAGGTAATACCATCTTACAGGAGTCAAGCAGAACAACTTGCAGTGAAGAACCAGAGCCTGGGACTAACYTGCTCTTTTCTCTCTCCTTGCAGGGATCCTGTTTACGATGCTGGTATTTGGACCAGCCTGTGGATTTATCTTGGGCTCCTTCTGTACCAAAATCTATGTGGATGCTGTCTTCATTGACACAAGTAAGGAGGGCCAGGTTTGGTTTCAGATAAAATACACAGAATATGTATCAGTAGCACAAAAATGTTGATGTTCACAAGCAGGAAACTGTCTGTCATTCTATCTTGAGTGCTTCTTGCATGGGTTTAAGATGGGATTCAAAAGGTGTCACCTCTGTCCTGATAAATAACAGCTTTGTAGTGGTTAAAATTTGATCCCTTCTGTGGGTTTTCTACTGTGACATGAGYTTCAGCCCATCTTAGAGGACACCTTGAAATTCCTCTGTGGCATTGTTGTGCCAGGAGAGCTGTGTGCAGAGCAGGAATCTGGGGGCTGCCACCCCAGGGTGTGGGGTCCATGCAGGTTCTGATGGAGGCACACCAGTGACACCCAGCACCCTGTGCCCATGGCCCTGCTTGGATGGGCAGCTGCAGTCCCACAGCATTGCTGCTTCTCACCAAAGCGTTAATTAATTAATTACTGCTCACCCTGACTTCACTTGAGTTAAAGCAAATAGTTTGAAAATTGCCTTTTTTTTTCCCATTAGACCAAACTCCACCAATTTTGCTTGGATCAGCACCTGCACTGTGTGGATTTTGCCATGAGAGGGCAACATGTGACAGGCTGTTCTCTGCTGCTCCTCTGGCTACACACGGCAAACCTGATTCTTCATTCCTTTCCCTCAGTTTTTCCTTTTTCCACAGTTCTCAGCTCCATTGGATCCCACAGACCCTTATGCAGGTTTTTTTGTTCTCTTTGAGGGTGCATTTTAGCTCTGTGATGTTGCAAATACATCATCACAGGGTGCATTTGRATGGAGATGAGCCTTGCAGGACTCAGAACAGAATTGTGCAAATCTGGAAAAGTGTTTTTGCCTTTTCTTGGCCTCACATGGCATCTGAAGAAATCAAAAGAACATCAAATGAGAAAGAAGCACTTTTTTGGATGGCTGAGACGTTTGGCTGCAGTTTGGTCAAACACCACATGGCCCCTTTTCATTCCTTGGCTTTACCAAAGCCTTGTTTGGTAGAGGAGCTGTTTGAAACCTGTTAGGTATTTGACCATTAAGTGTAATTTACACTAAAATATAAAAYGTAGAGAAGAAAATATTTGATCTCCCAGTGAGTGAAGCTGTAAAACTCCTCACCATAAGGTGCTAAAAATCCACAAATGGATTGCAAAACAGTTGGACAAGTTTATATCTGAAAAAAATGAACACRACACAAAATCTAGTTTAGAAAGCCTCTGAGCCACAAGAGTAATATATGCTGACTTTATTCTTGTAGACTTTCTGAGCAGCTGGTTACCRTCAGAGGCAAATACAGAGGCTGACCTAGCTGAAAAGTTAATTTGGTGTCTTCTGGCCATTTTTAGAAGATATTGCTCAATATTTGTGGCTCAGCCCCTTTGCAGGGAGGGTGCAGAGCTCCCYAGCTCCAGGTCCAGCAGGCTTTGGCCATGGTCAGTTGGATGTCCTGCAGAAGCTGGGGCACACTGTGGGGAAAAGAATTCCCACTTTTGCTCCAGGGGTTTGAGCCTTGTCCTGCTCCCTGTTTTGGGCAGGTGGGGATGTCAGGACATGCTGCTGCACTGCTCCCCACCCAGAAGATATTTTAGGAAATATCTAGGAAATATTAGGAAAGGAGTATTCAAACTCTGATTTACCTTGACCCTTCACACCGTTGTGTTCCCAAGAGCCTGAAAAAAAAATGCATTTCAGGCAGGAGGAAATATCAGCAGAAGAACCCAGTTCCTCCACRATGCTATTTTTCAAACTTTATCTGTATTTGAGAGCTACGTGGTATTTCCCCTAAGGAAAAAAGAGTTTCCTTCTGTCTCTGCTTGAGAGACAACTTGATTGCCTCACTCGAGACAGATTTTTCAGAGTGGCAGTAACCAGACAGTCGCCATGAAGAGAGGAGCTTGTTATTCCAGCCACGTGGACCTGGGTTTCCCCCAGGAATCAGCTCCAGCACTGGGCACCCTTGTGGCTCTGGCAGGGAGGCAGCTGTTAGGAACACAGCTTTTCCTCTCCTGCTGTTTATTTTTATTTCTCCAGCCTGACTCCAGACTATTCTTATGCCTTGTCTCTGCTGAGGGATGGCCTACAGGATGCTCTAGCCTTTTATGTTGCTTTTCTTCATTCTCTGATTATTTCTCTAGTTTCCTGAATCCATACAAGGCAGCGGGTGGGTTTCTTTCCCAATATTTAGGGCTTTTTYACCCTCTGCACAGCCACAGCTGCCCCTGAAAGCCAAATGCCAATCTCTCCTTTGCTGAAAAGGACTATGAATTCAAAGCAGGAGGAACACTGATCTCCTGGGAAAATAGTGTAAGCAGGGGTAGAGATGCAGTGTCCTTGTGTGTGCTGCTGGGCTGTGCCAGGTGAGGGATGTCTCAAACCTCAGTGCCAGCACAGGGGACACTGACTGAGCTTCCTAGAGCTGGCAGAGCCAAAGACACCTGAGAGAAGCTCTGATTGCAGGGTGTTGCAGAAGATGGATGGATGGGTGGGTGGGTGGATGGATGGATGGATGGATGGATGAACAGGGATGGATGGACAGGGATGGATGGATGGATGGATGGATGGATGGATGGATGGATGGATGGATGGACAGGGATGGATGGATGGATGGATGGATGGATGGATGCAGAAGCTGGATAGATAGATAGATGGATAGATAGATATAGATAGATGAAAGAAAGAAAGAGAAAGAAAAAGAAGGAAAGAAAGAAAAAGAAAGAAAGAAAAAGAAAGAGAAAGAAAGAAAGAAAGAAAAGTACGATATGTGTAAAAAAGATGATGGGAGCTGGCCTTGTGGATCTCTTGGGTGTAGAGGTCACTGAGTGCTGGTGGTCACACACCACAGCTGTGGGGTGCACTGTGGGCTCYCACCTGGTGTTTTGTGACCCTCATCAGGCAACAAATGCTTCAACAACCCCATTCCAGCCCACAGGATCGTTCCCATCCTCATGTTCCTCTTCCCCTGACTTGTGTTTGCTCCCCGCTCCCCAGGCAAGCTGGACATAACCCCGGACGACCCTCGGTGGATCGGAGCGTGGTGGGGAGGTTTCCTGCTGTGCGGTGCCTTACTCTTCTTCTCGTCCCTGCCCATGTTCGGCTTCCCGCAGTCGCTGCCGCCGCGGCCGGAGCGCGCCGGGGAGAGCGAGCAGGCCATGCTYCCCGAGCACCCCAAACCCAGCAACGGCGTCCTGCGCCACCCGCTCGACGGTGACAGCAGCACCACCTGCTTCCAGCAGCTGCGAGGTGAGATGTGAGGTGCTGTTGTGGTTTGAATGAATTCAATGGGAGCAAAACACTCCCAAGTTCCAGCAAACCCCCTCCCGCCTCTCTTTTCTCCACCCGGGTCCTAGAGACAACCTTTTCCACAGAAAGAAAAGGGGGGAAAAAAAAACCTATTTATTTAAAAATTATATAAACACAAAGAAAAAAAAAACCTGTGGAATCAGCTGTTAGATCCCAAAGCCTTTCTCTTCCCTCCTGGGAGTAGCTTCCCCTCCGGGCCCCCAGAGGGGTTCGACAGAGTCTCTCTCCRRTRGTTCACTGAAGGATTTTTCTCCYKGCCGTGCCACGAGAATCCTCCAATTCTCAGATGACGAAGAGGAAAAACAAGTCCAAAGAAAGGCAGAAAAAAGGAGCAGTCCCAGGAAGAGCAGCTTCTTTTTCCACCGCTGATCCCGAGAGAGAGCCTCCCGAGAAAAAAAAAAAAAAAAGTCTGTGTCTTTTCCCTTTCCCTCCCATTGTCCTTGAAGGGAGGAACATCACCAAACAAACCAGAGCAGTCTCGACTATCATGTACAGTTACAGAAGGGTTGTTTAACTTTCCTCTAACATAAGCAGATGATAGGAATACAATACTCAGCTAACCTAGGACAGGTGCTGTCCTCAATGGGTCCTTTTTCCCCACACAAAAGTCCCCCCCAAGAAAAATCAGCAGCCTGATGTTTCAGTTTCCCGGCTTCTGGTTGTCCTTGATGCCATCAGATGCTTGCAAAACTGTTGGACAAGTTTATATCTAAAAAAAAATGAACGTGACAAAAAAACCTAGTTTACAAAACCCCAGAGTTACAAAAATAATAAATATATGCTGAGTTTATCCTTGTAGATTTTCTGGGCATTTGCAGCTGGTTACYRTCAGAGGCAAATAGAGAGGCTGACCTAGCTAAAAAGTTAATTTGATGTCTTCTGGCCATTTTTAACGCAAGATATTGCTCAGTATTTACAGCTCAGAAAGCCCCAGATGGATACAGAGTCACAGAAGAGAACAGTAGAATGCTTCTGCTGAGAAGCCTGGAAGGGCTGTGGCTCAGCCCTTTGCAGTCCTCCCAGCTCCAGGTCCAGCTGGCTTTGGCCATGGTCATTTTGAAAGAGACACATTTCAAAGAGATTTTGTTCCACGTGAAAGCTTTGGATGTTTTTTTAAGCTACAAAGCTTCAGAAATGCATGGTAGTCCTATAGAGTTGGTGAAAAAACAAAGGGGAGCACAATTACCAGAGCAATTTGTGAACATTTCTCCAGTCCACTGTCCTGCTCCCCTCTGCCTCCTGAAACAGAGAGTGAGCCAGCAACGGCACTTAAAAGAAATTGGGAGCTCCCAGCATCCCATTTCCCCCATCCCAAAAGAAATTGGGAGCTCCCAAAAGAAAGCCTCAGCTTAGTGCAGTCCCAGATACAAAGCAATGAGTGCTGAGCATCACCACAGCTCTTAAACTGAAGAGGGAAATACCAGCCTAGCATAACAGCTAAACGGCAGGGCAGAGTGTGATTTGTAGCAAATTAGAGAGAAAGCCTCACATTATGTCCTGCAGTGATGGAAATGGAGGTGACTCTAATTAAAGTTGGCTAAGGATTCATCATTTTGTGGGAGAATGTGGGCAGATATCCTTTCTGTAGGCTGCACTGGGAAATCCTTCATSTGAGAGGGTGTTTCTGTAGCACTGGTGGCTGCTTCCCACTCCCTGTTGCTGTGGCAGAGTGGGTTTCATTACTGCCTGATGCATTTAGATAAACGAGGACAAAATCACTTACTCCCTGTGCAGTCACCTTAATTGGGAGTTGAATGAAGTGYGGGTGGCAAGGAAAAAGAGACTTTGGGGAAAAAAGTGTTGTCTAAATATAAAAATGCCTTGAATAGTTGATGTGGTTGTTCATTAAGGGAAGGTCAAAGATGTGAAATTCTGACTTGATGAGGAAATTCAAAAGAAAGGTAAAGGGATAAATTGTTTGAAACTCTGTCAGTAGAATTAATTTCTTCATCCTTTCATCCTTGCAAGGATTTTCTCCTAAATGGGCTTTTCCCATGGTATGTGCATAGTTCTGTGGATAGTTCTGTGGCTTTTGTTGTGTACACATCAGAGTGTCTGCTTCTGACCACTGAGCTTTGGGAGTGGACACTGGAAATGTTTGCAGGTTTTCATATAGAAAAATGAAATCATGTGATGATGTGTATCCCTGCTACATGGAGGGGCAGCAGTTCAGCCTGAGCATCTTGCACACAGGGAGGCCATGGGGGGTTCACTGAGCATCTGTTGCTCATTGAAGTAGAGAAATTAAACTGCCACATCCATATGCTTCAAGTATYGATTACATCAGGAGGCACCACAGCCCTCCACGTTATCCCTGTCACTGCAGGTAACCCCATTTCGGATCAGTCAGTATTCCAGGAGCCCCTTTGTGGATGGACTTTGAAAYAAAATTTATATCACATCAAATGAGACAAGGAATGACCTTTTTAGTTATTCCTTTGAGGCTGTCACAGACGACACGGTGTTGGTAGCTGACRTCTCCTTTCAAGTCCCTTGCCATTATTGTCACAGTTGGAATGTGGTCTGGAGTTGTGTGGCTGCCTGGAGATGTTCAGATGTGATCCATAAGGGAAGGCAAACACAAAACACACCTCATCATTTCTGAGGAGCAGTGTTTCAGGGGAATGGCTTAATTTTTCTATGGGTATAAGTTACTGTGAGAGCAGCTGAAATATCTGCATGCATTCCTATGTGGCAGGTCCTAGTATCCTTAATCTGTTTGTTGGTTCTCTTTTGGAGAAAGTTAAGATTCTTTAGGCTTTTTCCTAGGATAAAAAGGAGTCTTAATTATATACAGAGCTTGAAAATATATGTGCATGCATAGTCATGTCTTCTGTCCTAATATGGCCTTGGATTTTGTGTGAATTTGTGAAGCTGAACAGAATCCATGGAMTCATGGAATGGCATGAATTGGAAKGGACCTTAAAGATYATCTGGTTCCAAACCCTGGGCAAGGAYACTTTTCACTAGATCATCTTGCTCACAGCTCCATCCAGCCTGACCTTGGACACTTCCAGGGGTGGGACAGCCACAGCTTTTCAGGGCAACAGCAGAGGATTTACCTGTACCGGGGTTGGGAGCACAGATGCTCCTTGTGGTTTGTGTGGCCATAACTCTGACTCATTTCTGTCCAGTGCTGTCTCTGCAGCTCGTCCTGGGCAGGGCAGTTCCTGCTGGAACTCGTGTCTCCATGGATCCACAATCCATGTGGATTGTCCATCTCTTGTGCAAGTCAGGAGAGGAAGAGCTGTTTCTCTGGACTGATGATGCAAACACCCTCTGTATCAATAGCACATCCTTAGAGGCTGCACTACATCTTTTTGGCTATTGAAGGGGTTTTATTATTTTTATTACATTTTTTCCAAGCCTTGCAGTGACTCCACTAGAGAAAGGACATGGCAGGAGAGGAAGCAGGGCAGTGTCAGCTGGGGACATGGCACGGCTGGCACGTGGGAGGAGGCTCCAGACACCACAARATCTGCTGGAAATCAGTGACATGGAGCACTGGCTGAGTTCCTTGGCTTTCTCTAGCCTCAGGATGCAAAAAAAGGCAGGACTAATATGAAAGGAACCCACTCAAAATGTGCATTTTTTACATCTCTGTCAAGGTCTAAGCAGGAGGGAGGGCCCAGCTTTTGGGAAGCCCTGGCATCTCTTCCTGTGGGGTGTTTTCATTCCAGGAAAAGCAGCATTCTTAAGAAGAGCTTYGAGCTTGAAATGAGAGTGGTGCCTTTGAACAGCACGAGGTGAAGAGACAATCCAAAATTGAAGAGACAATCCTCCAAAGGCAGTGGAGAGAGAGGGGGGCTCTTCTCTCAGGCAGGAAAACTTCAGGATGGTCCTGGGAGCTGCTTCCTATTGCTAAACCAGCTTTCCCCCCTCTGCTCTGCCCTGGGGACCTCTCTGCTCCAAGGGAAGATGCTGGGCTGTGCCTCTCTTGTGTCTGTCCAGCATCTGCCCCCTCACCTGCAGCCTCTGACACGCCACCTGCTCTGGGACGTGCTTGGAAATAGTTCATTAAAATTTTCTTTTTTTTTTTCCATACAGAAATGTCACAGCTATTGAATTGAGCGGCCAGTTCTGATGAAATTTGATTTCAGAATGCTTCCTCGGCGTGATCTTTAGCACCTCTGAAACATTCTGCCCTAAATGCATTCTGTTTTGCAATGATTTAAGCCAGGAATTTGTTACACTCTGCCTCTCTGTCTAGCAAGAGAGATTAAAACCCTAAAAGGATTGAAATTGATATGGAATCCTCCAGGTTTGGAAAGAGAAACTCATTCACGAGGAATTAAAAGAAAACTCACTGTGGAATTAAATGAATTTCAGAACTGCAAATTCCCTAGATTTGGAAACATTTTGGTTTCTTTCCAGCTTCATTTTGAAGAGTGTAGGAGAGCCGGGATGTACAGCTGACAGCTGCCTTGTGTTCTGTTCATTTCCTTCCTGCTCTGTGTTCCAGTTTGCTGAATACCTGGGGAGGGAGCTGCTCTGRATCTGGGATTTCTGTCCCAAAAAGCTCTCTCTGGGAGCAGAGTGCTGGGCCAAAAGCTCCCAGCTGTGCAGGGAGGGCCTGGACCATGGGGAGCCTGTAATTGTCAGTCAGAGTTCATAGGATTGRGCAGGATTAAAGGCTAACAGGAGTGGTTTTTAATGCTGACTATCAGGAGTGATAGTGACAGCCTTTTGGAGAGGGCTCCATCTGTGCCTTCATTCACAGCCACCGTGGTGAGAGACTTTAATGCCTTTTTGGAGTTGTGTCTTGTCCCCCTAGGAACATCTAAAAAACTTGCTGAGAAATCCAAGTCTTAAGTGAGAAGGTGGCAGGTGATCATAAAAGACAGCAGGTCCCGTCAGTCTTCGAGTTTCCTTTGGCTTGTGTTTCATGAGGGTGTGAGAATTGTCAGGTTCTCCTTGGCTGTTTCCACGCCAGCATCTTGTCAGCACCTTTGATTCAGAAAGACTTTCAGAATTCAGAAAGACTTTCACCCTGCTCACCTCAGGGCCAAAGCAGCAGCAGCAGAAGGCAAGCAGAGTGTRTCTCTGAAAAGATACTCTGCTTTTCCATGACTTGTGTGTCACACATGAGGGAGGTTTATGTTCCCCTCTGAAGTCGAGTAAAGGTGGTTCCTGCAGGCAGGGTGATGGGCTAGAAGGACCTGCTTCCCSTGCTTGAGAACCTTTCTGCTGTTTCAGACTTGCATCCTGTCAGGAAGGCTTYTCTGGCTTGGGTGTCATCCTTTTCTCTCACACCCTTCACAGTAATTTTGCCAAGGCCAAGTGGAACTTCAGCACACTAAGCTCACCTGAGATGCCTTCAGCATCTCTTGCCTTACACCTTATTCTCTTTTACAAGAACTACCTCTTTCCAGAATGTATTTTCTTCTTGCTGCCTGTTCTGTTTCTCCATCCCTTTTTTCTCAAGCCAGGTGGAGGTTTTGCCTTTTGTTTTCTCTTCAGACCTGAGGCTTGCTGCTGACATGTGTAGTAGAAAGTCATATTTTGACTCAATACTATGTTTTTCCTATCCTTCACCACACTGTCCTAGGTGGACTGGGCTGTAAACCTCCCTCTAATTTATTACTTTGCTTTCTGTGTTCTTCATCTTTACTGCAAATTGAAAACATGTCTCTGTAGGGTGCTCCAACCAGAAACAGGGGCCTTGGTGATTGTAATGCTCCAAACAATTCATTTCAAGCACCAACGTGATGATTATAGTTTGTCGTTTCTGGAGAGTAGTTAAACCTCGTGTAATGAGGTTGCCAATTATCCCCGGTACTCCCCGATGTGCAGTGACAAATCAAAGCTGCTTGGTGCACAAAGTGTGAGTGTTTGTCAAGCCCTTGGCCTGTCACCCACMGAGGGAGGGTGTTTGGTGTCTGKTTTTTGGGTGTGGAAAKGTGGGGAGCYAAGGGGTCRGTGSGGGGTTTTGGAGAGTTTTGGGATGTCTGCCCCCAGTCCTTCCCAACCTGTGGATGATCCTGTGACCAACTCTGCACAGGGATGCTCTGAAGAGCTGGGTTTGGAGGAGTGGGGCAGTGAGAAGGWGTGGTGTTCTCCTCAGTTCATCTCTCAGGAATCGCTTTCCTGCCGCCGCCGTTTCTGGAGTGCGTCAGGACGAGGGTGTGAAATGAGCTCATCCTGCTGGCAGTGGGAGGCTGAGTCTGTCTGTGCCGTGTCTGGTGCAGCTTGTGGCTTCTCCAAGTGGATTTTTGAGACTCCTTCCTCTCCAAAAGATTTTTCCCACTTGGCAARTGGACTTCAGTTGAGATTTATAGCTCCAAAGGGCTGCTCCAAATTGTTCAGGTGAGCTCTGAGGCAGTAAGGTGCAGGTTAACATTTACCATGACTGCTGTTGGGTTGTCACCCGTGAAGAACCACCATCCTTAGCTGTTGTGTTCCTCAGGGCTTCAGTGTCCCCCAACAGGCATTTCCATCCCTGCTCCACACCCAGCACCATATGCCAGGCWGCTGAAAAGATGTCACTCTAGTCTATTCAGGGATTTTTAAAACTTCRCTGCTGACTTTTAATCTTTTTCCCAGAGGTATTTCACCCCGAGAACTGAGACAGATAAGGCAGCAGCAGGTGTCAAATGATTGATCTTAACAAGTGGCAGTAGCAAGATGAAAGGATATTCAATTCCATAGGGAGCCTGCTGCAATTTCCCTTAGAAGATGAAAGAGAACGAGCTGGCCCTGGCTGAGGAGATGATGGAGGCTGCCAGGCACTGCTTGAGTGTTTTGTGCACTTTTTTCACTGGGTTTGGTGTCACACTGCTGGTGCAGGGTCCTGCTGCAGTAATCAGTGGTCAGACATGCAGCAAAGGACAGGATCTGTCCCAGGAAACTCACAGGGAGGAGAAGCAATGATCGTGGAATCATGGACTCACAGAAAGATTTGGGTTGGAAGGGACCTTAAAGATACCTTGTTCCAGACACCTCACCTGGACAGGGACACCTTCCTCTGGACCAGGCTGCTCAAAGCCTGGCCTTGAGCACTTCCAGGGGCATCCACAGCTTCTCTGGGCAACCTATTCYAGTGTCTCACATCCTCACAGTAAAGAATTCCTTCCTTGTMGCTGATCTAATCYCTCCCTCCTTCAGTTCAAAGCCTTTATTCCTTTTCCTGTCACTACATACCCTTGTCAGAAGTCCCTCTCCAGCTCTCCAGAGCCCCTTTAGGTGATGAAGCTCCGTGAGTTGTAGCCCAGCCCTCCAGGCAAGGCACTCATGATGTTTTCTCTCCTGTGTGAGATGCTGCAGTAACTCTGCAAATCTTTGGTTGTCCGCCCCAAGCACGGAAGATGGATTTTGACCTTGGTAATGTGTGATGGTTGGATGCCAGCTTTAGAAATAAATGTCCGTGATCTTTAACTCCCTCCTGCAAAATGCAGGCTGTCATCACCGTTGTTTGGTGGATGAAGTTAGACCTCAGTGTCTTTGGATTTAAATTGGCACAAAGCTACATCTCAAGGAATCCATTAATCTTGAACAAACTGAACTCCTGAGGCACAACAGGCATTAATATCTTAAATATGGCTTTTCAAGCTCTGTATTGCCAAGTCCACCTTTGCATTTTCTATATTTTTCCTGGCAAGAAGGAGAAATTCTGTAGGTGGCCACCAAAGAACTGAAGGAAGCAGCAGGTGGCTTCTGAAATTTATCCATGTCTGAATTCCACCATCCCCATTCCTCCCACACAGTATTTTTTTCTCTTTTTTTTCTTTTTCCTTTTTTCTTTTTTCCCCGTTCTACTAAAAATTACTATGCCTCTTGCAMCTTAATTATACTCAGTAAATCCTTGGGAAGCAAGAATTTTATTCAGCTTGGAAAAACATTTCTGATACAAAGAGCCCAGAAACTGTGGASTGACCTCTTCCAAAAGGTTAGATCAAACCTAATTATAACCCTTTTTTCTGCTGTCCCCAAGAAAGAACCAAGGGCACCCAAGCAGAGCTTTGACAAAGAGCTGTGCATTCTCTTCTGAGGCMAGTGCAGAAAAATCCCTGAGGGAAAACAGAAGCCAGCACCAGAGAAAYATCATCTGCCAGCCCCTGGTACACCGTAGGGAATGTGGGGGATGGATTTTCAAAATGCAAATAGGGGTCCGTTGAGGCTTCACCACACTACATCAAGGTAATTTTCAAACTTAATGATTTTCACATTTAATTCAGGGAGAAATTAGTCATCAGGTATTGAGACAAAGCAAGGCTCTCTTCCATACAGGGATGCTCTGCTCTTCAAGCTGTGTTATCTCGACAATAATTAAAATGTTCGCTGGAGTAGAAAACGTGYGATCTGATTCATTAGGCAGATTTCCCTTTGTAGGGCAGCTCCTTTTTGCTTATGGGAAATTGAGATGGGCTTGGAGGAGAGAGAGCTCTGGACACTGAAGATTTGGAGGGGGACAGCCAAGGGCTCATGAAACCAAAGCTGTGTGTCCTACACAGTGAACAGCTCAGGATGTCTTCTTCCATTCTCTCAGCCACCAAGGCTGGGAGAGTCCACGTGAAAGGGGTTGGTTGGYTGGAGAAGCTTTAGGTTATGGGAACACACAAACTGATGTGCTGTCCCAGGCAGCAGGACCCTTATCCCTGGGTATCTGTGGGCTAGGCTGAGCCAGAGTGTTCCAGCTTGCTGAAAACACCCACACTGCTGGAAGAAGGTGACCAGCAGTGAGTTTGAAAGCAAATCTGATGGCAGAAGGAAAAGCCAAGATGTGAGCTGAGTGGCTTTGTGTCTGAAGGCTTACAAGAATTTGTGCTGAATTCAGCACTCACCCTCTCCACAGGCTCAGTTTTGTTCTTGGGGAGCAGGTAGGAGAAGGAGAAGAAAGAGCACACCAGGTTTTGATTGATTTCCCTGTGGGGGAAACAAAAAGCAGTACTGGAAACTTTGTTCATTCTTCTGATTTTCAAAATAATCTGTAAGAGTAAATAATGATGGGTGATTTCTATTTGCATCCTCTGGGTACTGGAATCTTTAGATGACACWGTTTGGGTGTTTCACTTTGTTTTGGGTGTTTCACTGTTTTGGGTTGTTCCCTTATTTCCAGCAGCTCATCTGTGCAGAACAAGAAGTTCCTCCTGATGTGAAGTGAGTTTTCCCTACAGGAGAGGACAAAGTTACCTCTACCCCAAAAACACCTCTTCCTTTTTCCTCTCTTCCAGTGATCCCCAAAGTGACAAAGCACCTGCTCTCCAACCCCGTGTTCACCTGCATCATCCTGGCAGCCTGCATGGAGATCGCGGTGGTGGCCGGCTTCGCCGCCTTCCTGGGCAAGTACCTGGAGCAGCAGTTCAACCTCACCACCTCATCTGCCAACCAGCTCCTGGGTGAGTACCCACAGGGAGCACCAAACCTTCAACATCCAGAGGGATTTTACTGTGTTTGGCATGGCTGGTGACTGCTGCCAGTCTCGCTGACSTGTGAGTGGGAGGGTTCAGCTGTAGCCAGAGCCCAGAGCAGACCTCCAGCATCCTTCCTCCTCCACTGTGCTCTCCACTGCATCCTGCTGCCATCACTTACATGTAGCCAAGCCTGTTGTGTGGGACAGGAGGACAGGAAAGTCTGTGAGAGCCTTGAATGCAGAAGAAATGGGCCCTTTGGTTGCCCAGGACTGCAGTTGCTCACCAAGTGATTGTGGGGCCCATTGAACTGCTCCTCTCATGGTGCCCCACAGCTCTGAGCCCATCTCCAGCTGGGTTAGCAAGCCCAGTTTCCCCTGTTAGCCACTCCCTTCCCCTTGGCCTGGAAATGATGAGATTGCAATGAGCAGTTTGAGTACCTGAGTTGTGCAGCTTTGTCTTCTTTCAAATGTCCCTTCTCTCTGACCCCTCCATGCTGCTGTGACTCCACCTTATGTATTTCTCAGTGTTCATTTATTCCCYGTCAGGACACTGATGGCAGGATCTTCATTTGTTTTCTGCTGCTTCTCATCCCAGGCAGGCCCAGCCATTTGTTTATGGCAGCCCTTMTTTCAGCAGAACCCAATTAAAAATATCTGCAAGTGGATCTTGGATGATCTGTGACCACAGCTCAGCTCACCAGATGGGCAGCTGGCAGTGATCTGTCAAAAACTGGGACATCAGGAGATGGCTGGATCTTCATATCAAAATAAGGAGTTTGCAAGCTGCTCTCCTGATAGTTGTTTATTTTCCTGTTAAACTCATTGATATCTTCTGGTTTTGGCCTGGTTTTCCAAAAGAAACAATCCCCTGCAGTCAGCCTTGCCTCCCCCAGCGACACAGGAATTTGCTGTGAATTTTGATATGATTTGACAGGAGGCCAGAGGTCTCAAAGTTGTTAGGCTGTTCCATCTTCCCTGGAAATTAAAGGCTTGGCAAAGGAAAGTAACTTCACTGTTGAGCCAGTGGGAGAAGGGAAAAAGCTGTTTGGTGGGTACAGCAAAGAGGGGATCACCCATGAGGCAGAGCACAYTCTGCTTCTGACCTGACAGAAGTGGGAAAGGGGACTTGGATATCTTGGTATTCCTCACTGCAGCTTGTTTAAACAAAATTGTTACTAGATTTCTTACGTGGCATTTAGGGGAGTCTAGAAATGCCAGGATTGGGATTTATCTTCTAAGTATAGTTCAGGCAGGTGAGGTYTGGAGTTTAACTAGCAGAAAAGGGATAAAAGTGACCTCAAACAAGCGTAGTGTGGTAATTCCTGTTTGTGCTGGAAAGGGAGACACCTCTGGCAGTGATTCTGCATTTCACAGTTCAAGAAAATTCTTTTAGGGAGATTGCATATTTTCAACACTGCTCTTGCCCAGTCTCAGACTTGTGTGAGTCACACCAGCAGGGCTCATCCAAAGCCTCCAGACACCTGGGGAAATCCTTGCCTTCATTTGTGTGCTAGCTGTAGCAGGAAGCATTAGAGATTCTGCTGCTTAGGTCAGGCTGGGCCAATCTCAGCAAGGCTGGCATTCCCTCCAGCGTGGATGAGAACTGGCAGGAGATCCTGGTTCCTCTGCACAAGGCAGCCCTCCTGTTTGCATCTGTTCCTATTTTTGGGCASCCCCAGCCTGCTGCTGCTCCAGCACTTGGTCATTCCCAGGTTTTCCTGTGCCAGGGCACAGATCTGGCTGTGGAGAGCTCAGTCCTGTCGCAGTGTACTTCACTGTGCCTCTCACTAACTGATTTTTCCTCCTGCAGGGATGACAGCGATCCCATGTGCGTGTCTGGGCATATTCCTGGGTGGTCTCTTGGTGAAGAAGCTGAGCCTGTCAGCTCTGGGAGCCATCAGGATGGCCATGCTGGTGAACCTGGTGTCCACAGCTTGCTACGTGTCCTTCCTGTTCCTGGGCTGCGACACGGGACCCGTGGCAGGGGTTACTGTTCCCTATGGAAACAAGTGAGTCCACACAGGGTTTCAGGGAGCTTTACAACCAAAAATCTGTGTTACTGTCCCTGMCAGGCAGTGCTGGCCTAGAGCAAGCACAGAGAAGGCTTGTATGGACTCTTATTCTCTTATTCCATGCCATTCACCACTGCTAGAGCTGATGCCCTGCAGATGACAGCAGAGTTTCACTAAAATCAGTCAAACTGACTCAAAAAGTGCCAGAGTTTGTACCCACAGCCACCTCTGTAGCATCGGGTGTGGTTTGTCCTGGAAGCCAGGGACATGCACTGATTTATACATTGATTTAAGTGCCTGAGGGGAATTTGTAGCACCAGGTTTTAGATGCCTGGAAATACAGATACAGTGAAGAGAGATTTTTTGTGGCTGCAGGCCCATTTTAATGTCAGAGATGAGGCCCACGGTACCCTGCAGCACTTGCAGGACTTGGAGAGAATTATTTGGCATTTTCTTTCTGAGTGCTCCTGGGTGCAGTGGCAGCTCTTTAGATGACAGCTTCAGCCTGTCAGCTCCTTAGAGTGTTGCAGAAAAACACAGAGCAATCTCCACAGCATCTCCTTGTGTTTCCTTTGGGCTTCTTTTGAGGTAGCAGGGCAGCCCAAGCCTGGCATTGGATTCTCTTTTGCAGAGAGATRGTGGCTGTGGCATTTCAGTGTCCCAAGGAGAGGCTGTAGTCTGGATTTTTTAGAACTGGAACCCAGCTAGCTTGCCCACTGTTGTTTTGTAATGTGCTTTCTTTAACTCTGCCCTTCAAAGCCATCTTTGTGAGGCAACGATTGGAAAAGCTGTCTGGTATCACGCTGTCCATTGATTTCTTTCTCTGTTTTTTTTACAGCTCAACTCCAACCTCATCTCTGGACCCATATTCCCCCTGCAATAACAACTGTGAATGCCAAACTGATTCCTTCACTCCAGTGTGTGGGGCAGACGGGGTCACATACTTATCTGCCTGCTTTGCTGGCTGCAGCAGCACGGTGAGTKTGCTTTCCTGGGCACCTCTGGCCTTTTGGAACTGTTCTGTGAGCTCAGGTGAGCCAGGTTGGTGCCCTCAGGTGGGCCTGAGCCCCTGTTGTTTTCCACTCTGTTCCATAAATGCCTGTTCTCTCTGGCAGCACCTGCCAGGGTCACCCAGGAGCAGGATGTGATCTCACATCCCCCTGCCCTGCTTGGAAGGCAGGAGCACCATAGGAGATCTGCTCAGGTGTCAGTGGCAGAACACAGATCCTCTGRAAGAGTTTCCTAGCCCAGGCTGATGGAGCAGCTTCTCTCTTATCCTGCAGCTCCTCATCTCCCCTCTCCTCCACCTGCCCATGTTTGCCCTGCACAATCCTTTTCGTCTTTTTCCCCGGCTCTTTCCCTGAGCAGATTTTGGTTTTATTCACCCTTGTTTAAGCTTTCCTTTAACTCCTCTAGCTTCTCTCTCTTTCCTTGCTTTGCTCTGAGGCAGCAGCAAGAGCAGTTGTCAGGGGAGCAGAGATTCCATCCAAAGACATTCTGCATTTTTCAGTTCTCTATATCTAAGAGTTTATTTCCCTCAGAAAACTCTTAAAGACCAAACTATCTCTGTATAAAGAAGATGTAGGGAATTTTTAACAGTATCTTAAAAGCCAGCTTTTTAATTTTTTTTTTGCTGCTGAAATGGTAATGTCTGAAAATGGTTACTGAAAATGAGTGTCTGCTGCTCCTGTGGGTGGGATTCCTTCATCCTTGCTCCCTGCCTGGGGCTKTGCCAGGCTGTGTGGAGTCTGGGGGAGCTCAGCATGGGCACAGGGACATGCAGTTATCCCTCCATGGCTTCATCCTTCCCCTCTGAGGAGACACCAAACCTCCCTTCCTGCCCTGGAGACCRAGCCCATCTGAGTTTTTACTGCAGCTGAGCAGAGGTGCACATTTGCTGCTGGCAGTGCAGCCTCCCTGCYCAGGTCACCTGGGAGCTTGTCCTGCTCCAACACCTTGTCTCCTCCTCTCCCTCTCCAGCCTCAGAGCTGCAGGCATCTCTTTGAAACTCCACAGTTTCAAGGTGCTTTCAGCAGCCTTACAAAGATCTACATCAACATGTGACACTTGAGGGTGTTACCTCCTGCTCTTTTCCTCCTTCTCCTCCCASTAAGTGAACTGAGATAGCAGCAGAATGGTTTTAACAAGAAGTCAGCTTGTTTCAGGCCCATGAATTGTGTCTCACAGTTCACCAAGCCTTCAGCTGTCTGTGGCTGGAGCATGGAACCATCTCCTCTCTGTGCAAAGCTCTGGCTTCTCTGGAAGGAGAATGGTTTTGAGAATTCAGCTCTGCCCCTTCAGTCTGCAGCTGCCTGACCTCGTGCTCTRCAAGAGCAAACCTCTCAGCAAAATACTCACTCTCCCTCACACTCTGAATCCTTCCTTCTTACTTTGCCTTTCGTCGTYATCTTGGGCTTCTTTTCATCCCCTTGTTTGGTGGGTTTTTTGCAGCAATATTTTGAACACAAATTCACGAAGCAAAAGCATCCTCTGGAAAGGGGCATTACCAAGAAATATGGACCAGTTTGGCCATGCAATTGCCTTGAGGCAAAGCCAAATTGCCAAACCAAGTTTTAAACCCATAATCCAGGTAATGACCTGTCTAGTGGGTCTTGTGAATGTTATATGCTTGTGATGAGCCAAGGGTTGATTTTTACTGGGACATAAAATTCTCTGAATGCTTTATTTAACTTTACTACATTGTGCGTTTCTGACTGCTTCTCTTYGCTTTTCCTCTGTGAACAATTTCTAAAAGCAATGTGCAGCTCACTTAGTTTTTTTTTTCTTTCTCATTCCTTCTCTCTTACTGAGCTGATCCCAGAGGTGCCCCTGTCCAAAAAGCAGAACTCTGGCACTCTCCAGAACTTCTCTTTTAAGCCATTCCTGGGAGTGGCCCTTGCATACCACGTGTTAGAGCATGCAACTTGTTTGTTTGATGCCATTACTTCTGTCAGCCTTTTGGCTGGAGACAGAGAATTTCAGCCTGGAGTTACAGCTTTGCACTGAACTACCAGCCTGTCCCTTCTCTGTCACAGCCAGGGCTTCAAAAAGGAGTGATTAAAAACATGGGTAATTTGCATGGATAGTCACATCAAACTTAGGATGCTGTTAGAGGTGTAAACTCTGCATCCGTGCAGCCTCACAGGCACACAGAAATAGGGGGGTGCAGGTTGCAGGGCAGCAGAAGGTTCTGGAAACACAGGGTTGAATGCAGTGGAGCTGCAGACAAGGGGATCTGTAGCAGTTTGGCACGGGTAGCAGAAAGTTGCCTCTCCACAGGACAAAGTTGTAGCTCCATCTTTGATGTGTTCTTGTTTGATGTCTGTGAGTTGCAGAGAGTGTCAGTAATAAAAGATCAAAGATCTCCCAGGTAARGGTGAGGTGCAGTGCTGAGCAAGCTGATGCAGTTCATACAAACCCCTCACACTGCTTTAGGCCAGCACCTTGAAGCAAAGTGGTTGAAAAGGCAGATTGAGGGACAAATTTCCAGGCAGTGAAGGTGGGATCTGCCTTGTGCTTTGAACAAAAATCACACTGGTGTGAGGAGAATCTGCCCCACCACTGCCAGAACCAGGAACTTGCTGTCCCTTGATGAGAACCCAAGGGAAAAAAAACACCCAATTCTGCGTGTTTGCTGTGATGGGAATTTTGTCCAAGGATATTTCTGTGCAGGGATACACTGCTCCAGACTTACATGGGTTTTGATCTGCAGGACCATGTCCAGGTTGGTGGCTAGCAGTGTGCAGCAGTAAAAGCCAAGAGCTACAAATTCCTGTTGTCTGTGCAAACACCACCTCGGTGGTGCTAATTGTCACCATTCTGGAGCCTTCAGGTGTCAGCTTCTAACTCACAGCACGGGAATTTGTTTTGTTAATTATTGCTTGCCAGCAGAAAGGCACCTGCATGTCTGCTCCAGCTCTCCTTGAGCTCTGCCCTGTGGTCTCTCTTGCCCTCTGTGCACTTAGTTGAAAGAAAATGATTTGACTCCTGTGCAGGAAAAAAAACTTGGTGTCAGAAAGGTTGGAGTAGCATCCTGCTGATTTTTATCTTAGGAGGCAGTGAACCAGAAAGTGTGCTTTTGTATGGTCCTGAGGGAATCCTTTTTGAAGAAAAGCAAARGAATTTCTGCTTGCACATGGTAGAAGGGAAGGGAAGGAGATTTAGCTGATTTTCAGTATATTTTATGACGTTACTCCTCATACAGACATGTGACCTGCAAACCCAGCGGGCTTACGAAGACAAGCCATGAATCATTTATGATCATTTCATTCCATATTCGTTAAGGGATTTCTTAGTACTATTGTGTGCCTTAATTGCGCTGACATCCCCCACTCAGAAATTCAGGAGGGCGAGTTGGAAAATAAGAAAAAAAAAATCCTTCAATCTGTGACTGGCAAACAAAGCTGCTTTTCAGATCCCGCACTTGCTGGAGAGATCAAAGCAAAATGCAGTCATTCCACTCTCCTTCTGATCACATATTGATAAAGTTTATCTCACTTGACTTCAGCTTTTAGCTCAACACAAATCCCTCTGAACCAAATGTCATTTATTAGCCCTGGAGTGCACKAACGTCCAGCAGTGTCTGTGCTGCCAGGCTGTGGTAGTTCAGCTCTGGGTGAGCTGCAGAACCATCGTGGGTGGCTCCTTCCCAGGATTTGAGGTGCTGGAAGCAGGCTCTGAACCTGCAGCTAAGAGCAGGGCTGCAGATTTACCTGCATTTAATGTGCTTCAGTTTAATTGCAACAGCCAGGAGGACGGAGGTAAATAAGAAAGTAATTAGAACCGTAATGGAGGGGATCTTCCTTGTCACAGGGACACAGATTGTTTCTTTATTCTCCTCCAAAGAGGTGTAACTGGGTGATAATTTTGTCGCGGTGACATTTATGGGAGAGACTTGAAAGGAGCAGAAGAAAAGARACAAGCCAAGGGACAGCTTTCCCTTGCTGGCAACATGAGTCAGCTCTGATGCTCCTGAAATTCTTCCCAAACCCCCCTCCAACAAGCACTTAGGAGTTATTTAATTGACCATTAGAGGATTAGGTGTCGCTGCTGACAAGCCCTGTCGCAGAGGGCAGCGGTGGGGATGGCAGCTCTCCCTCTCCTGACTCCTCGTGCTTCCCTGCAGAACCTCAGTGGCTGTTCGTGCCTCTCCTCGGTCCCTGCCGAAAACGCCACCGTCGTTCCTGGCAAATGCCCCAGCCCYGGGTGTGAAGAGGCCTTCCTGACATTCCTGTGTGTGATGTGCGTCTGCAGCAT